CAAGTCCAGACCCTTGTACGAAGCAAAGTGAAGGACAGGGTCTGGTTTTAACCAGGCTAAGCTAGCTAGCTGTAGCAGGGATGAATCAGTGAGTTGATGACTTATTGGAGAAGAATCATGACTCCTGATTCAGTAACATGACTCGTTTTTTTATTGATTTGTTCCAAGACTTGCCCATTGCTACTGCGCACAAAAGATACACAACAAAGAAGCGGCACTTTCTGAACTAAAAGCCAATACTTGGGAAGTATTTCAGCTTGTATAAAGTTAAACTGAAATTTTGCTGACAAAAGCTACACTATATGCAAGTTGAGTACACATTTTTACACGAGGTAAACCACCCATAATTGCTAACAGGGGTTTCTCACTAGGCTAACTGTTAGCAACAAGATGGTGAATGATTTTCAAGAGGGATTCTGCATGAGCCAGTTACTGGTTTCAAAGTATACTAGGGGTGTAACAATATGTCGATCTATATCAATATATTGATTTGAATGGTTCATGATTCAGTTATATCGAGGCAAAATGAAAATATCGATCTATATCGCCATCATATGCTCAATGTAAATCGATATCGTAAGCCCATCTAACACAGTCATTGTGTTAGATGGGCATAAAATATTGCATTTTATCTATCGCAGACATGCGAATTTAACTGAATCGAAATCATTTTGTGACAGATATTGTGATTTCGAGAAATATCGAATCGTCATCCAAACATATCAATGTAATATCATATCGTGATAATATCGTGATTTTTTTTTTGTTCCGCTCTTGGAGGAGCAAGACGCTTTTTCCTTCTCTCCTGCACTTCCTTATCTTCCCTGCTTTGCTACTCAGAGCCTCCTCTACGTTTTCATCCAAAACCAGAAATTATGGATATTTTTATTTTTATGGATTTGGTTTGCTGGTCTCTTAATAAAAATTTTTGGAACAAAGTTTTTTCTTCCATGGGAGGATATGTCAAAGGTGGGACTTCTGTTCTGCTCTGTTCTGGATGTATATTTGGATTCCAATCACTGGATTCTACAGATTGGCTTGGTGGTATCCTGGTGTTCTGCAAAACAGCGTTGTTGGCTATTCATTTCCTGGCTACCTGACCAATATGAAGGATTGCTGTTCTATCAGCACTCAGACTTTTGCCTTGTGTGAGCTGGACTCGGTCTGCAAGCGGTTCTACTGAGGGTCGTGGGCCGGCTGTGGTCCCTGGACTTTGCTGGCCAGATGGAATTGATCTTGGAGAAAGCCGATAGCACGGCTCAGCGGAATTTGTCCACACCATTTGTCTGACTGGATTCGCCACAATGAGAGATACCAGCGGACATTAAGGCTGATGGAAAACTGTTATGGTCTGCCTGGCTCAAAACATTCTCTTCTGTTCTCAAACAACTGATTACATAATTTGGCTCTCCCCTACATGGCCTTGAGAGCTGTGGACTAAAGTCTTCCTGGATGTATACGTCAACTGAGGGTCTTCCCCTCACCTATAATATATATATTAGGCCTGTCGCGATAG